GACAAAATTCGTGTTTCTTTTATAGGAATGGAAGTATCGATATTCATTAACTTTGACTCTTGCAAATTTATCATGCTAATCACATCATGCAAACTGGTTGCGTGTGCAACCCATTGCAAAATTAATGATCTCACTATCAGTTAGACGATTTAATTTTCCAAAATATGGGAATTCATTCTGTTTTGCTGTCGAGGAACGCAGAGATTGTAATTGTGAGATTCGAACAGTTCACTGTATTATGTGGAATAGTTCTAATTTTATCGAAACGAAGCACTGTAGACAAAACATTAAGATGATGAATGCTGATACGATTAAATTGTAAGTGTTACCCTCAGTGCAAACCAAATCATCGATATTATCCATTACGAAAGTTGAATATTTTTGCTGCCATTTACCATTCTTCTGACATACCATACTAACATGAGTTGAGCTCGATTGACTATTGATCATGATGGATCCTCAAATAAATTCCCATTTGAAGTGAAGAACATCTGAGTGATTATCGCTAGAGCACCAGAGTAACCTTTTGCCATTTTTAGTCATCACATTCATGTGTCAATCATTTTCTGGTGTTGCTAGGAGCCATTTCAAATAAATTCACCTCTCAAACATTTCACGTCAATTTGACAGTAGTGTGGCTGTCGCTTTTCACCCGTACAACGCCTTCGTTTTCGAATCGTTTTTGTTGGATCACTCGTTAACTGACCACCCTCACAACCTCCCAGCAAACCTGGTGTACCTGGAATGAATTACTCCTGAATGATTCAGTCATAGAATAGGTGGCTGGATAACCAAATAAAAAATGATTGATAAGTTGAGAAGAAGTGATCTAGAACAAGTTGAAACCGTGGATGCTCTCTTATGTCAGCTGTCCCCATGCTCGGGTGCTCCATTACCTCCTTCCATTGTCTCAGAAGCCGTCATTATCCTGTCCTCTCCCTCCCTCCCCCCCCCCGTTCCGCTACAATAATTTACAATTCCCGCGCATACCTTCGGAGCTGATTTCCCGATCCCCTCCATTACCAGCTGACACCCCGAAATTACCCAAAAAATGGGTAATTCCCCTTCTACGGGAAACCCTCCCGTGTATTCTGATTTGCTTAAATATGACAGCTGTTCACCTGGTTTGCATATCATGATATTAACATCTGTCACAGTACTGTACGATACGCTCTCTCTCCAATTGCCGTCTTTGCCA